GGATTTAAAATTGAATTTTGATATAGAACAACACAAAAATCGACAAATTTCATTAAGTTTAAGCCAAGTTATAGCTTTAACAAGAAAGGGAACGACCGGGTCAATTTTTTTTTCACGTAAAAATTTTTTTCACGTGGCGCGCACTCACGGGGGTATATAAGCCGTCGCACGTCCGAGTCACGTCAGTCGGCTGTGTGAGCTGGTGAGCTCCACTCCTCTCTCTCTGGAGGTCCTCCTGAGAGAGGGGAAAAGCTCATCAGCCCACATGACGGGGGTGGGGCCTGGAGAAATCTAGGTCTCATCCCAAACCGTCCAGAACGGTTGCATTCCACCCAAGCCGTCCAGAACGGTTGCATTCCATCCCAAACCGTCCAGAACGGTTGCATTCCACCCAAGCCGTCCAGAACGGTTGCATTCCACCCAAACCGTTCAGAACGGTTGCATTCAACCCAAGCCGTCCAGAACGGTTGCATTCCATCCCAAACCGTCCAGAACGGTTGCATTCCATCCCGAACCGTCCAGAACGGTTGCGTTTCACTCTGATTCGTTCAGAGCAGCTGTATTCCCTGTTATGGGTGGATGAAGCTAACATTATTAAAGTTTTATTCAAATAATCAAATTTTTCACTGAAATGTGAACTTCATGAAGTCATAGAGCACTTATAAGTTTCTTTCTCTTCTGAAATCGTATGGATTGATGTACGTGGACGGGGTTTTCTGGTTTCCGAAGTAAATGATTCTGATAGTTCGCGCACTCGTCGTGAAAGATCCTCCAGCTCCATGGCTCTTAAAGAAAAAGAATTCCTAATCTCTTATAGAGAATTCAATCTCACCTTTGACCTTGAGTAAGCGATTCTTTTTCTAACTTTTGAAGATTTTCTTCGTGTTGCTTATCTTTCTCAGTTAGATCATCTTCCAAGCTCCTGATTTGTAATTCTCTGCTTGTAATCTTGCTCTTCAAGGTTTCCACTTTTTCCGTGAGTGTCATTTTTTCTTCTCTCAATGTTTTGTTCTCTGTTGATAGTGATCTGGAGCAAGCTACATCTGACGATTATACACCTTTGTAACTACCTGGACAAAGCTTGTAATGCTTCTAACTCTTTCTGTATTCTTGAGCGTTCATTTCTTACGTCAACATCTGAAGAAGACCTTGAGTCTATCTGGAAAAGAAAGAGATTAGAGAAAGATCAAATGACTTACCTCCTTTTCCAAAATATCGTTTCTAGCCTGCGCTGCTTTCAAGCGTTCCTCTAAGATATTTATTTGAGTCAAATGAGCTTTAACAGTTAATCGAAGCTGCAAACAACCAGTATATAATCATATGCAAGAACGGTTATCTCACTTCCACTAACTCTTCTTCATTGAATGTTCTTTGAGACGTCTTATGAGTTTCTTGTCTCATTTTCTCGATGTTGTATTCGCATTTAGCCAGTTCGGTTGTAAGCCGAGAGTTCTCACTTATCAGTTTTGTATTTTCATTTGTTAACTAGAAATAGCATGAATGAGACGTTAACGCTAGTATACCCACTTGATCTATGTGGTGCCTATCGTTCTGATGATGCATATGGACCTCTTTTGTTTTACGTTTGAAATCACTCAACTCATCCTGTGTAAAAGCATTTTAAGGGATGAAATATCGCTTCTTACCAATAAGTCGTCTTCACGTCTTTTTCTTTCTTCAATTTCGATTAAGTATTCCTCGATTTTCTCTTTTAGTCGTTTTTGTTCCGATTTAGACGTACTCTCCCTATCTTTCAATAATTCTTCTTCTCTTTTTCTTTCTGTCAATTTCAGCTTAAAGAAGAATTATTCTTGTCTTAATTGTATTTCAGCTAAACCTTCAAGTCTGATACTTCCGCTGTTATTGTCCTCGTTTTCAGAACCAGAGCCTCTTTTTCATCTTCAAGCTTGGATATTCTAAATGAAGTATTCAGAGATGACATTAGACCTTTTTTGTTGGGATCCTCACCTAGTTTCTTTTTCTGCCAAAACAGGAGTCAAGTCATCCAAACGTCTCTGCAGCTCTAATGCTTCTTCCATTAGGGCTCTCTTGTCTCTCGTATCGGCTTCTATGACATTTTTTTTCTTAAACGAGGAATTTTCTTCTCTTTACCAGATCTACTGCTCAAATCAGATTCGGCTTCGCGAAGCCGGACTGCCAGTTGATTTATTCGCTCCTCTCTCTTCCTCAATGCTTCTCTATGCCCAACGACTTGATCTTTCAAATCTTCTACTTCCTAAATTGGTATATAAATGAGAATTTTGATACAAATTCAATACTCACTCTAGTTTTATCCTCTAATTCATTCAATAATTGAATATCCGGACTAATAGGTTTTACAGTTCTGAATGAAACATGTCCATCAGGTGAATGGCTAATAACATTCCTAGAAAATTCAAATATATTCTCTCGCTACGCTTTATTAGTTCCACAGCTCACACAACCGAACGCATGGTTAATTACTCGAGAAATACAGCTGACATGCTATGGTAGCAGATGCGTGGAACGGTCCACGTTGAACCACATAATTAGCATACCTTTCGGAAGTTAAAAGTCGGCTTTGATTCAAATCGCGTATCGGTAAATTAGAATATGAGGTATCAAAAGATTGTTCCTAAAAAAAACAAATGAAAAAGGTTCAATATATTATTAAATTACCTTATTGAGTTTGAATGATCCACCAGTATTCACAGCTTGGTTAATCCTATCTCCAAGTACTTTATCAAGAGGAGGGTGGAAAGAAGGTAATCTGCACCAATCTTTACCATTCATAGATAACTTCAATAATATAATATTTCATTATGATATGACGAACTATAGCTTACTTCATTTCCACGACTCATGATGTTCACCACTTTCTGTTGACCTTGTGAGCTATTCCTATTTCCATCACTTTTTCTACAAAAAATATTTCCATGAAAAAAAAAACACATAATTCTCATTACAAATAATTATTTTCAATTTCTAATAATTGAATTTGTTGCTCCAAACTTCTTGTATACTGTTCCCGTAGAAGGTCTTGTGATATAACGGTTGTTTGTTTGGATGAAGCACATAGGCAGTCACCTTGAGCTTTTGAGCTGGAAGGAAAAATCAATCTAATTGGTTGACGTTTTTTTTATCCTACTTTGGCTGAGGTGGAATTGTAGCTTTAGGTAGATTCCCAATACTCCCGCATCTTCTCATAGATGTTGTTGTTGGTCGTTTCGCCGTTTGAGCTTTCTGGTCTCGAAAACCCGTCCCTGCAGCAGTACATTGTTTTCAAAATAATTTTTTTAAAAAAAACTCACCTTGGATTAGTAATGGAGGTTCTTTTCGTGGATTGGATGCCTTCATAGAGCTATTCGAAGAAACTAGAGATAGACAGTCGGTTGGATGGAAGAAGGGTTTGCTATAAAAATGGATACCACCTGGTACTTATGAGGGCTTGGTCTCCAGGCAACAGCCATTGGTCAGTCAATCTACTAGATAGCCGTTAGAGAAAGGATTAATAGAGAGATATGCACAGAAAAAAGGATTTAGAGAAAGAGAAAAGAGAAAGCTAGAGTATACATAATGATGAACACGGCTGAGAGACTGACCCACCAGGTTTTCCTTGTTTTTCCATTTTCTTCTTATTCATCTATTTGATCTCCGCTATTCGTTAGACAATAATAACCTTCAGAATGACTATCAATCAGTTCAGCTTGAACTGAACTCTTAACCAATTCAAGTCAAGCTGTGTATGAGATAGATTTGATCAATCTTCTCGAGAATCAATCCAGTTCTGACCTGATAACGGACTGTGTCATTCCATTTCAAAGTTTTTTCAAATAGAAATCATATAGGAAGTGTAATTGAAGAAATGTAGAACAAGTTTTTATATCAACCAGTCAATATTTCAATATTGTAGTTTTATTGATCTTCGACGCTTACATTTGTAAAAAGAAAAAGACATTTTGTTAAAATAAATTGTTTATCAGATGATTTTGTAGGTCAATAAGATGAAGCACCTGAGTCAATTTGTCATATTAAGTTGTTTTTTTCTTGATATTTAATATCCTCCGTATCCTTTTGGTCTTCCATAGGAGCTGCGCATTGGTGGTGGTGGCATCATCTGAGATTATCGTTGAGAATGGGAAAATTATAAAGCAATTACTGGCTCTGGTTCTGGTTCTGCCATTGGTGGTGGTGGTGGTGGAGGTGGTTGGTAGTTACTTTGTTGACCATAGCTGGATACTGGCTCTTGGTAAGGAGCTTGGAATCCTCCTTGGAATCCACCGCTGCCATATCCTCCTCCTCCTTGGTTGAATCCACCTTGGAATCCGTACCCTCCACTGAAAAATAATGTCCTTTGAAACAAAAGCGACGAAAGAAATTATTACCAGAGAGCGAGTTGAATAACAACGGCTAGAACAACGAGCTTGAAGATCATTCTGAAACAATTGAAGTTAGAAAAAAACTTCGAAAGAAGAGAAGAAAGAAAACTCACCTGTCTGTTTGACATCCATTCTCATGGGTCGACTTATATATGGTGAACAGTGTAATCTGCCGAGAAAAAAAACAGATGACGGAACTGACAACTCTCAGAACAACGGCTCAATCGGCCAATTGGGAGAATCGTAACATTTAGAAGGAAATTGATGAAACTATCAACTGTGAACGTCAACGATTATGATTCATAGTTAAACGCTAAACAAGGACAATACATTTATTAGACAATTACCTGCTTCTCAACAGATTTTCTAAGAATTCCGATTCCGTTCTGTGATCGTCGAAAAGAATTCATTTTCTTCTGTTTCTGATTTTGGTGTGACCTTTTCTAAATATTTGTTGGGTTGTCTTGTTACATCTAAGCCTATGAACAACCGTTCTCCCTTGTTCTCATATGTCAAAATGAAACTTCCAAGATATGCTAATTATGTGTGGACGTTCTCACGACATGTTTACGTGGTAGTTTTAATTTGTTTTGCAATCTTTATAAATAATTTATTCAGATATAAATTATACATTTCTGTTAAAATACACGCGAAACAATTAATGGAAGCAGCCATTTCTATCAGCTTTCTTTTCCTTGCGGCTTTCTGAAATGGAAGAATTTAGAAAAAAAAAAGAAGAAAGATGGCTGGAACTTACATCTTTCCTACAGGAGAAAAAAAGTTCTGAATAAGTTCGATTGGGAATGGAAAGATGATGGTTGAATTTTTCTCAGCACTGAAATGAAATTTTTTTTTGTTATTGATACCAATGGGTACCTTATGCTATTCAGAGTTTGTAAGTATCGCAACTGGATTGCACATGGTGAAGAGGCGATCTGTAGAAGAAGTGTTTTAGAAATTGGTGAAATTTGCTTAAAAGTTGACTACTTACCACATCTGCAGCCTCCCGTAAGGCTCGAGATGCTTGTTGTTCTCCTTCAGCAGCAATAACCTTAAAATTTAGTTTTCGTTTTCTCATTTTCCTGTTTTGCTAATAAGCATCTTCTCATTTATTAACCTTAGCCCCTGCTTCTCTTGTTGCTTCAGCCTCAGCAGCCATAGCTCTTTGAAGTTGTAATGGAAGTCGAACATCTTTGACTTCAACCCGTTCCACTTTAACACCCCATGGGTCGGTCGCCTCATCTAATGTACTCTGAAGACAATTTTTCATCAATCTTATGACAATGAAAGTTGAACAACCTGCATTTGATGAGAAATGTTTTCTCTATCTGATAGCATTTCTGCCAGTGTACGAGTACCGAGAATATTTCTGAGTGTAGTCTGAGCAAGCAGTTTGGTGGAACGAGAAGCATCTTCCACATTGGTAACCTGCAAGTTTGATTATAGTTAACTCAAGTAGAGGTTGGCTTGCAACGAAAATATTGAAAAACATACAGATATGGTAGCATTCGATATTCTGAAATAGACAACAGCATCCACAGCTACTGTCACGGAATCTTTGGATAAAATCTTAAAAATAAGAATACATGATAAGGAGCAGTGGTTATGGATGTTCTACCTCTTGAGGAGGAACGTCAAAAGAGACAACACGGAGATCAATCTTCTTATATGAATCTATACATGGTAGGACGAAGAAAATTCCTAAATTAACCTTTGGTCTTAAGACTCAACTAATAAAACACTTGCCTGGCCCTTTAGCACCCCCAGGCATCAAACGTCCGAGACGGAAAATGACGGCTCTTTCATATTCTTGAACGACCTAAGAACCATCAGTGTGATGTTTTCAAGTTTTAATGAATAGACTTACTTTTATACAGAAATAGGCAGAAAGAGGAAGTGTGCAAACTATAAGAATATATGAACATATAGTTAAGATCCAACCACATATTGTAAATTCAACTATCTGATTAGCTGCAAATGGACAATGGTTAAGTGAAAGGGAGAGGTTTGTCTTACTGTCTACGATACGAGTTAATGGACTCCGACCACTGACCAACTTTCTGGTCTCCATTACTCTGGAGATAACAAACTCTGAAAAGAAAATATGAGCGGCGGCAAAAAATGTAGAATACAAAAGCTGTTTACGATTACAGTTAGATTGACAATCACAATTCAATGAAGACGAGCAGTCAAGAAATACACGAAAGCATTAACTTGGCTCACGTTTTTTCACTTTTTGAAAGAATAAAGAAAACATCACAAGGCTGTCCGTATCGATTCAGACAACGAACGAAAAGCACAAAAACAGCATTAAGAAGTACGAAAGCTGAAGACGAGAAGCTCGTACAATAGGTAAGCGAAGGTATAGATGAAAGAAAATGTTTTGAATGGAAGTTTCAAACGTTAGTTTATTGTAATAATAGAATTATAAAATAACAATAACAGATCTTCGTGAATATTCGATGGCTCATAATTAGAATTCACGATGACTACCGGAATTATTTTGAGTTTGACTTCTGATGTCTATTTTTCAAAGAAAAATTAATGAAGACGCAAAAATAAGAATAAAATAGACGACGTGAATCTTTAGAATCTCGTATCTGCTTGGATTGAGAATGAATGAGTGAATAAGAAGAAGAGAGAGAAAGATAAAGCAAAGAGTGGGCGCAACGGAATGAGAGAGTACAAATGAACCAAATGCTTCAAGAGCCAATTTCCATAGATGGCGTGATGTTGTCCTATATATTATTGTATTAACTGAAGCTTTGCCGCCGTATTCAAATGCGAATCGTGTCGGTCATGAGTAGATGGCCAAGTGGACATCAGCTCCTGTGCATGCTCTTCTGCATTGCCATTTAAAGCAAATGAGTGTCTATGCATTCAGTTTCAGCCATTTTTTCTCAATATACGTACTAATTTACTCGTAACGTTATTTATGGTTGATGATTGCTGTCGTCTAAATAGTGGCCTACAACTGCAAAAGTGTCACTAGTTCCTTGGCAATTGGCCAAAAATCCGGAAACGAATAGACGGCATAGCGTGTTAGCAAAATCTTTTTGTTTCTTTTCGTACTGCAGCTTAACGATGTGCCGATTTCGATGCAATAAAAAAATTAAAATAAAGGAATAGGCCAGGAGTCAATGAAAGCGTGAAAAAGAAAAGATTGAAGAAGAAAGCAATGAAAAGCTTAAAGAGGAAGAAATATATAAAAAGTAAAGAGAGAAGAGAACGAAGAAAGCAGAAGAAGAGAACGGAGACAATGAGAGAAGAGAAAGCACAACCGTTCAGCAGATTCGCATGAAAATAAATTAATGCGTTACCACGTGTGCCACGTGGGTACCGCTTAACCACGTGAAGAAAACGACCTCACGTGGAGAGTAGCTGAATGTGGGAAAGAATATAAATAAAAAACCAATGCTCTGTGTAATAAAAAAGAAAAATAGTCGAAGGCGTAGGATAAAGGTCTGATAGCCGTCAGATGAATGTCCGTTCGAATTATTCCTCTTTGACTGAGCCACGGCTGCAATAACATTAAGAAATGTCCCTTAGATGAAGAGACGAAAAATATTTTTTAAGTTGTGAAAAATTGGATTTTTCTTTATAAAAAAAAGAAAAAGTCAGTCGAAAGAGAGAAAAAGAGAGAGAGAGATATCTATAAACCTACTACGAATAGCTTTGACAATAGTATTGAATTAATTCCATAGGAAATGGAAAGATAATCGTCGAATTCTTCTCGGCACTGAAAAAAAAGGAAAAGCCTTTGTTTTCCATTCGGAAGAATAAAAAAATGAGTTCTGAATTAGAAAAACCAGGAACCTAATGCTGTTAAGAGTTTGAAGATAACGAAGCTGTATAGCACAGGGCGATTCAACGATCTAAAAAAATGTTTTTCATACTTGGAGCCACGCCAAGAAAAACCAAAATATAAAAATGAAAGTTACTTCATGTTTGCGTCGAAACAAAATTCAGTTTTGTTTTTCTTTTTTTTTCTTGGAAAAATTCATACTTACCACATCGGCAGCGTCCTTCAGAACAGCAGATGCTTTTTGTTCTCCTTGAGCCGCTATTACCTTCAAAGGGAAGTTTCACTTCTCATTCTTCAACGAACTCTCATATTCTCTCTTTCTTTTTTTCTCCATATATACATAATTTTGTTATTTTTTTTCGTTTCTCTTTCGAATATTGCAAAACAAACCTTTGCTCCAGCTTCACGAGTTGCTTCGGCTTCAGCTGCCATAGCTCTTTGAAGCTGGAATGGTAGCCTCACATCCTTCACCTCAACTCGCTCTACTTTCACTCCCCAAGGACCCGTCGCCTCATCAAGTGTCGCCTAAAATAATTTTTTGACCCTAGTCTAACCGTCTTCTTCAAAGAAATTGTTTACCTGCATCTGATGCGAGATGTTGTCACGATCAGACAGCATCTGAGACAACGTACGAGTACCAAGGATATTTCTGAGTGTAGTCTGAGCAAGTAGTTTAGTGGAACGAGAAGCGTCTTCCACATTTGTAACCTGCAAGTTTGGTCATAGTTAGCATGAAGCTTACGAACTTACAGATATTGTGGCATTGGAGATGCGAAAGTAAACAACAGCATCCACAGCTACTGTCACGGAATCTTTGGATAAAAGCTGAAATAGGGAATAAGTTGAAATATGGAACGCCATATACAAACTTCTTGAGGAGGGACTTCAAAGGAAAGAACACGTAAATCCACTTTTTGGTATGAATCGATACATGGCAAAATGAAAAATAGACCTGTGAGTAGAGGAAAGTTGAAAGAAAAGAAGTATGTTGTAGTTACCTGGGCCTTTAGCTCCACCAGGTAGTAGACGACCTAATCGGAAAATTACCGCTCTTTCATATTCCTGAACAACCTAAAAAACAAAATAAAATCAATTTGAATATAAAATAAATAAATACTTTTATACAAAAACATGCAGAAATGGGGAATGTGATGAAAGCAAGGATGTAGCTGAATATCGTGAGAATCCAACCGCAAACTGTGAATTCCACAACTTGGTTTACTGAAATTATAAAAAATAAATTATTATTATTTCAAATTTGCATGGAGTTAGTAAGAGTTCTGTCATCCGTGTCATACTGAAGTCTACTACTGGTCATAGAAATAAAGTCGTCTGACAACTTCATGTATATTTAATGCCCTCAGGCAACATTCCTTATGAAGATATGAAACTTAATTTTTGAATTTTTTCGAAACCCTCACTTCGACTCAACTCACACACACTCGTATTTTCGAAAATTCGTTGAACACTTTCCTTTTATTTTTTCCAATGTTTAAAGAGTAATTAAGGGATGTTTATGTCGGAACAAAAATAGTTTTTGATCTTTTTATAAGCTAATTTCGTCTTTTGAAGTTGAAAATAAGTTTTAAACAAGCTTACAGTCAACGATACGGGTTAGTCGAGTACGTTTGGTGATTTGGACTGATTTCTTCTCGTTGGATACGCGATCAGGCATTCTGCAAAGCAAAAACATAATTTTTCATTTTTTTTTAGCCAAAATTAAATATAAACGATGTGTATAAATTTGGAAATGTTCTAGAGTTATCTTAATTACGAAGCTAATCTATGCTAATTTGAGGATGACAATAATGTAAAGCAGGCTATGAGTGTATGAGACAATCGAGAGAATAGAGGAGAATGAGCAAACGAGCCGAGTTTCTCCATCAAAGCCATTCTCCTTCTAGTCTTCTTTCTCTTTTTCTCTCTGCATCTCCCTTCTCATATCTCTTCTTCTCTTATATCTCTCACTTTTCTACACTCTCTTCTGTTTCTGCCTGTTGCCAATCTAGGTTTCTTCTTTTAACGAAAGAAACATAGCCATGGCATTTACTGAAGATGCTCAAGAAAATAATTATATTACATATAATTCGATCAGAAACAATACCGAATGAAGAGAAATGAACGAAGCTCTCAAATCAGATCGCATATTGTTAGAAAATGTAAATGAAAAAACTCTTTTCCATCTCCTATTCCTCTATTAGCTGTATTGCAAAGCTCATGCAAATGCATTATATTTCCACTATTCCTTATGTTCCTTACTGCATCTGATTGTTGAATTTTGATGAAAAAAGCTCGAATTACGAGAATTCTGAAGAAACTCCTACTGCTCAGATGACAAAAATGGCCGAAAAATCCATATTTTGAAGTCTGAGCAGATTGATTTGAACTTTAGCAAATAAAACTATAATTAATGGTGGAATAACTAATGGTTTAGAACATCAAAAGCATTTTCATGACTATAGTCAAGAAACAGAATAGGTCAGAAGCCGAAAATAACGCAGAAGAAGTAGTAAAATTACATTTTTTAATCATAATTTGCGTGATAAATAGGCCTTTCATGCTTTCAGATAAAGAGTTCAATGGAGCAGAAAGGAAAAAACTGAAAATATTTCTAAACAAACCACTAAGTACTTCATTAATGTGTTTTGTTCTAGGAGAGAAGAGCAAAATGCAAGAACAACCGCTTCACGCGTCAAATAAAAACGAAATAAAGTTCTGAGCTGCCGTAACGTGATATTCACGTGGCGAGATGTCATTAGAAAGAGAGAGAGAAATCTGAGAAATGTATGGCCAATTCTCGCTTCTTCCTTCTACTGCTCTCTTCTTCATTTACTTATTCTCCTCAATCTTCTTCTTCTACTCCCTCCCCCCCATCTCATATGGAAGCTGTTTCAAACTACCTCCTGCCTCTCCCTTTGCAGTATTTTTTATCAAAAAATGAAACATTGACGCGAAACACAAAATCTGTCACAAAATTGGGAAAATTTGTCTTTTAAAACTTTGACAACAAAATTCGTCTGACAAATATGGAAGTGACTAACTCTCATTGTGTTAACAACTAAATTTAACAAACAAGCTTTGGATGCGCTCTCAATCTTTTGGAGAAAAAAAAAATCCTAAAATATCGAATTAGATTTCTTCATCATGGGCTAAGAATGGAAGCCAACAATACTGCGAGCAAACAGCAACACACTCAATGCTTTTAAACAAAACAACTGAAAAATATGAGAAAGAAGCTGAAAAAACGATGCTGTTAATATATAGAGGAAAATTAAAAAAATTGAACAAAAATGAGAGCCGAGGGAGTTGCTGAACGACGATTGACGTTAGCTGCTGCTTCGTATCTTGATTTCGGGAAACAAATATTTTTTTCTTAAAAAATGAATAATATGAAACGCTGAGGAAGATAATTGAGAAACCAATTATTGTCATAAGTACGAAACGCTGATGATTGATGCTTGAGAGAAAAGAAAATAAGTTTGAACAGAGAAGCGAGTTGATCAAAACCTTTTGGAAACGACAATCTGGTGACATCTCAGAGTTTGTCAAAAGGAAAATTCATAGGCTATGTACAAATGAAATATTTAAAGCTAGAGAGAAATTAGCTTTACAACTAATCGCTCAAGCATATCTAAGAATTGTCTTTCTCCTCATTTTCGATTGGCTCGAAACAGAAAAAAAACACATGGAAAAAACGTTTTTTTTCTCTTCAAACACGCGTCAAGCTATTCTGATTTCCATAATTTGACTTCTGGACTGCCTTGCCCACCCTGAATAGGCGTTGAGGTTGATCCTTGACGAAGAAATTTCCGCTTTTTCTCTCATGTTTCATCGTTGAACATGGGTAATTGACAATTCCTCTCAACGCAAGTACTTTGAACCCGTAGGGAACATATGTATAACAAAAGAAAAAGCTGATCATAAGTTTTAAGCACTTCTACTTGGAAATTCTACAACTTTTGAATCAAAGTTGACTTTCTCGAGCTTGCAATATACGAAAATGACTGAAGTTTTGCAGAAAAGGCAAATTTGAACAAAAAAATGTGTGAAGAATGATAGAAAGTGGAGAGTAAAGAAGAAAGAAGAAGCAACTGAGAAGACAGACGAGGAGAGGGGGATAGAGGCAGACAGAAGAGCGGGAGATGGCAAGTAGAGACGATGGCAACTTAAAAGATTTGGTCAACACGTATTAAATTCAAAATAGAAAACATGGACAGATCTGTGATAGTTGTGGTAATACTCGAAGTTCAAGGATAACGCTCGTCGTTGAGAAGGCTAATGATGAATGTGGAAAATATATAAAAGTACATGAAAAATGGAAAAGCCGTAGAATATTCAGGAAAGAGGAGAATAAGAAGAAGATATTGCTGAAAAATGTGCGAAGGTTTGATACTTTCAGATCTCAACAACTTTACCAAAGCTTCATCTTCAGAATGAAAAGAAAAAAACAGAAAAAAAACTTAGTGTGGGATACAGAAGTTAAGAACTTTCAAGATTAGAAAAGTTTCTTTGTATGAACTGCCAGTCGCATAGTTAGCTAGGATTTAATGTATCCCAGTTTCCTCTTTAGCACAATCTCTTCTAATCACAGTTTCTATAGAGCAGATTGTCAGATTCAGCTGCGAGCCTAATTAGGGTTTAAAGCTGGCTATCTGTGTATACTTATACAAGCATAATTCGAGAATCGCAAACAAAAATTGAAAGACTTAAATAACTACGAAGATTTTCCTTCACAAACAATTATCAAAATCCTCAATCGAACATCTGCGACCTATTGTTGTTGAATTTTGAAATATTTTCTACAAATAATATCGTTTTACTACTTGCAAAGATTTTACGAACAAGTTCAGCATTTCAGGATGAAAGTGACTGACCTTTGAAGGAAACAACAATCAAAGCCTCAAGCCACACATGATTGACTTGTAAGAAACAATTTCTATCTTCCTCATAAATGACAAAAGCAGGAAGCAGTCTTTCGCTCTTTCCTCTCTCTCCTTCTCTCTCCTCTTTTCTCTCTATCTCTCCCTTTCATATTCTAATATGGATTAGAACAGAACAGAATAAGAAAATGAGAATGTTAAGCAGTTCTACTTATAACAAAGTTGTGTGATTGATGTGCTTAGCAGCTTTACAACTATGTTCACAAAAAACGACAATCGAAAACAGTATATAATGCAGTGTCTGCAAATACAACTTTAATTCAAAATATTGGATGGGAATTTCTTTGTGCTTTGAATACGAAGCTCAAGCAGAGCTTATAGAAGTGCGCAGACGCTGTCCTCAGACGGCAGACCCAAGGATTACACATAAACTGCAATGGAGTTTATGACATCTTAATCGCTGATTGTTGGTTAATATGTTTCGTCCATCTTCGTTTGCGTCAAAAAACTATGACAGAACGAAACAGCCTACGTACCATAAAAATATTGAAGAATGGATGGAAAAAAAAATGAACACTGCTCTAACGCCAATGTGTGGATGAACTTGAAAAATGCAACCGCTTCGTGTTTTGTATGAAATAAATGAAAACAACAAGTCGTAGATGACGTGAATAGGCACGTGAGTTATTCTAATTTATGCAAGTGAGTAGAATGAAAAAAAGCAAAATGTCTTGAAATGAAAAGTAAAAGGGCTGAAATTGAAGCCTGCGAAGTATTACATCCAGTTGACTTTTGGTGGCGAAGAGACAAAAAGCAACGAGAGATTTAGCAAAAGCTAAGTCAGATGTGTTATTCAGTAAAATAAGATACCTCACAAAAAATATTCGGAGGAAAGAGAGGAAGAGAACCAGAGAGACGTCAATTCTAGAAGGGATGGGGCTAATTTGATATTTAAAAAACAATAAAAAACAAAGTGTTAACAACTGAGACAAAGAAATCAGAAGTAGGGAATAATGGCCAAATAATATCGAACGAGCTTTTATTGCGAAAAGAACTCACAAAGGCTTCTTCTAATACTTCATCATATATAAATATATTTAATATAGATTATATATATATTGGCATACATTTCTCTTTAAAATAGATGGAAAGCCGGAAAAGAAGGATTTACAAACTTGCAGAGCAGAATAAAGACTGCAATTAAGTTAATGGAGGAGGTCAAGTGTCAGAAATAAAAGAAACATGAAATGGAATGGAGTAGGATGTTGGAATCATCTAGCTCTAAACGCCTAACTAGTGACAAGCAGCTGGCTTCGGCTTACAAAGAACTAGTAAACGTTTCTATTCAATTAGTATGCAGAGAAAACATCAGGAGAGAAATATTGGCTGAGTGTTTTATGTCCAATGAATGGACCGTTCAAGTAAATTTTGGCTGCAGTATTGCTCCAAAAAAAACAATTATCGATTATTAGTGTATTGGCGCATGACCACTTTCAGACATTTGGACTATGCTGGGATATGGCAAAGAACAAAAAGAAGACATCGACTCTTAGTAGAAGCTATTCTCTCTTTTGCTCTGACAAGCAGGGAGAATCTCATTGGTCCCCTGAGATTCAAACAGCTAGCTCAGGCATTTGTCCGTTCTCAGGCAACATCACAACAAAAAGAGATGACTACGCTTTCTCTCTTTCGCAGTCAATTTCCTACTTTGGATCATGACGACATAACTTTTACAACTTCTCTTGAGTTTATTTGAATTTTATATTACAATGGCATCATCTATCTGCATCTCCTTGCATCTGCCTTATAGCAAAATAGAACCAAAACAGATTCTTTCTGAGCATAGTGTGTACAAGTATACCGATTTGTCTCATTTGTATTTGTTGCGAAAAGAGAGAAATAGAGAGGGGGTAGAGATAAGTGGGTGGCTCGGTTTTCCAAGCACTCTGCTAGTTCAAAACATTGTAGTGTGAAATATATTTTATGAATTAGTACAAAATCCGTAAACAATTCTAAATTGGCAAAGAAATCGCAATATACACAGTTCAACCCATTCAATATTTGTAGAATCCTTCTCCAGATTTCCTTCCAAGCTTTCCGCTCTCAACAAGTTTGTCCAATGTTTCACTAGGCTTGAAAGAAGGTTCGGATGGATACTGCTGATGCCAACCTAAAACTATTCGTAAGAAAAGAGGAAAATCTCGCAGTGCAACCATCCATAATGAACTTGAGAGTGTCAAGTCCAACATAATCGGCCAATTCGAAAGGACCCATGGGATAACCAGCACCTAATTTCATAGCAACATCCACATCCTGAAAGAATTATAAGTTCTTGAATCATCAGTTTTCGACTCTTGTACTTCTTTGGAAGCGTCTCCACGCTCGTGCAATCTCAAGGCCTCCAACATGTAAGGGACAAGAAGTCTATTCACGATGAATCCTGGGGTATCCTGGAGAAAAACGTTTCAACGAAAACGAAGTCTAGTTACCTTGCAAGCAACTGTGACTTTTCCTATTTGTTTTCCATATTCCATAAGGGTATTGAAAGTAGCATCAGAAGTTTCTCCATGACGAACAACCTAGGTCGAAATAATCTATGAGACTTATGCAAAAACAAACCTCAAGAAGTTTCATCATTGGAACAGGGTTGAAGAAATGCAGACCTCCGAACTGGGATTTGTTTGAAAGATTAGCTCCTATGTCTTCGAGGCGTAAAGAAGATGTATTCGTTGTGAGAATAGCTGAGCTGAAGTGATATAAAAATTGGGCACAATGAGCATGACTTAGTATTGCCTTTTTACAGCTTTCTCAATCTCAGCGAAGAGTGTTCTCTTTACACCGATGTTTTCAACAATAGCTTCGATGACAAGATCAGCGTCTTTGACGGCATCAGCTACAACGGTAGTAGTTTTCAAGTGAGAGAGAGTTGAAGACACAAGTCCCTCAGCTTTCTACATAACATTACATATATTGCGAGAGAAGATATGAATAGATACCTGGGAGTCGTCAGCGAACTTCTTCTTAGCAATTCTTCTCAAAGAAGTTTCAATAGTTTTTTCGGCTTTCTTCAAAGCATCAGCAGACTGATCAACAAGGACTACATTGATCTTGGCATTTGCTGTTACCTAGATAACGAAGATATTTTTTTCTAAGAAGATTAACTACTTGAGCGATTCCGGAACCCATGAGTCCAGCGCCGATGATAGCGACATTGCTAACTTTATTCAAAGAAGCAGTGGTTGAGAACTGACGAAGAGCACCAGCAGCGGAGAGCATCTGCAGAATTGAAGACAAGTTATTGTATGAAAACAAATAAATGAGAATAGCAGGTAGTAGGCTAAGAACTACTAGAGGTACAAAGTACAATACGCAATGATATGACCGTAACTGTTTATGCGAATAAAAAAATCCTTCAAACATTATATAAAAAAATTATATTGATAAAACAATCAGAATGTACCGGCAAACACTACTATACAACCATGAACAGGGAGGAAGTTCACCTATTACGGCAAAGACTCCAGTCTTATCAACAGATGGACTCGAGAAGTTTTTTGCGTTGTTCGGTGTTCATGAAAACTGCTTTGACGAGTGATCTCACTTCATTAGGAGTAAGCCATTGTGCTAATGGACCTTTTCCATCACACCAACGATCAGCGACTCCCTGTAATATTATATTAGTCAAGATGCTATGAATTAAGTATGCCACCTTCAATGAGCCATTCAAGAAGAAAATTATTTCTTTCGTTCTGAAGTATGGTGATTCACAAACCATTGTGATGCATACAGTTCCCCGAATCTTGAAATAAAACCATAGAGAAGCCCAAACTGTATAACATTACTCGGAATATATTTTCTAGTTGCTCAAGAATATTCTGAAGAATCGAAGCTGCAGTTTCAGCATCTGTACTTCTAATATCTTCGAGATCCAAGAATATGGCACAAATATCATTCAAGAAAAATCCTACTACGTTTCCTAAAGCTTTACAAAACACTGCTTCCGACATCACCTTAAAATGAAACCACCATTGATTCATGGAAAAGATGTGTGAACTAACCTCTCTCCAAACTTCAGCTACAGACTTCAGCAACATGAGAGCGGAATCAATAGTTCTATGACAATCCTTGAGACGATCGTAATCATGCAAATTATTGAAAACTACAACAGAAATTATGAACAATTCATGAAATATTAGAACCTTCTCTTTCCGCTAAAATAGTACTTAGTTGACGGCGGCATTGAGCTAACATTTGCTCCAATGAATCAGCAGCTATCTCTCTCAAGCCCCAAATAGATTTTATCCCAATAGGACGGAAATGATCATACTGCAACTCGAGGGTTTATAATGAAAGAAGTATCCAATAAACCTTTGCAGAATCTTTTTTGATGTTTTTCAGTATTCCGAAAGGAAGCATTAGGATACGATGACATATGAAATAGGCGTTGTTGTAGAAAACAGCTAGAACAGAATGTAAAAAAAAATTGAAGAGAAACTACCTGCAGATTCTGGAACAGAAGAAATAGTAGAGCAATGATGCTTAGGCGCAATGATCAAGTAAAGTTGAAGCATATTAGAAGCAGTAAGCGCAAGACGAGCACAAAGTTGCTATAATGGGAAAAAATTGTAGAGAATGAAAACAGAAACAAACTTCGTTGTCAGTTTCAACAGCATCCGTTAAGGTTCTTTCCAACAACATGACAAATTGTTCGGCTGATTTACTGAATTTTTTCTTAACAGCTGAGCACAGTTAACACACAAACCTGATTTTACATTTCAGCAACTGCATTAGTTTAGGATAGGTTTGATCGCAGTTCTCCAGGCTTGGTGGTGGTTGACCGAAAGCAGCAACGAAATCAGTTATTGTCTCTTCTTGAAACTCATCTACTCCTCCAACCTTCAACACCAATATTAGTTCAAACCGATGATTAAACGCAAACTTCTTTCAAATCGATGTATGGTTGGGTGATTAATTTTTTAGCTTGCGTCAGAATGGAGAGACAGCGTCGGTCTATGAAAACAGTTTCGCTGGATTCTGCGTAGACATGGAACTTTGGGACACGGTCATTCCAGAACCCTAATTCCTGTAGAAATAGACTCTTCAAAGGAATACAAGTCGACACTTACTATGAGAGTTTCTCGGAAAATCTCCACAGTCTGCATGGCTTCATCGAACCTAGGATCTTTTTGATCGCAAAATGGTATAGCAACAGATAAAAAGTCCTGAATTGTGGATGAAGCTATATAGTAAATCGTAACAAACTTTAACTATCATATCCATGAGAGACTCTTCAATACCTTTACCAATGCATCTAGTGAGCATTTCCCCATTAACATCAATGTCCTTCAGAGATCCAGCTAAATTTGTGAAAAACTGCGTGAGGGATCTAAAAAATTCATTTACGACAAGAAGTGGTTGAAAAACGGATGAGGCAACCGCATCACGGCAATGACAATTAGAAGTGAAATTCACTTGAAACTCGAACGAGTGACGTTTTTCACGTAAACGTGAGTGAAACACGTTTCCCACGTATACGTGAGCGTATACGCTCCAACCATGAGCACAAGCGAATCACGTTTCTCACGTGCAAATTGAACTTACTTGATTACTCCATCGACGTTAAAATCTCTCAAGGTTCCTTTTGCTTTACTACGCACTTTGAAACTACATACACCAGGCTTAAATTAATTTGTAAAATGAGAGTACTAGTAAGACTAGCCTTGATAATATCACAATCAAAGATATCGTAACCGTCACGACTTTCAATAGCAGCACGACAGAAGTGTTGTACGATATCGTTAGTCCATTTCGTTAGTTTAGGTTCTAGATAAGACAGAATTTGCATGGCAGTTAGATTCTGGAAAAATTGAAATCTAGAACTATATTCTTCGCATAACTCACAGCTGATGTGTTAGATGAGTTCTCATTACTAATATTCATTATTTTAACACCCTTTGTGTTGCATTGAGGGAAAGATACCAGTTTTTTGAACTCTTCACCGAGACTGAAACCACACGTAAACTTCTGAGTTCAATGAAACGAGCATACCTGCATCGTAAAGAAGTAGCATAGTCATTTACTTCCTGCTTCAATAGTTTTTTGATTTTATCAGTTAGAACTGATGCGTTTTCATCCTGACCATGAATACACTGATAACAAACACAAATCCACTTCAACAAACCGAAGTCAAGTCGTTGAGATAATCCAAGCATTCAGCAACCAAATTAGCGTTAGTCATTACATTAGAAGAGTCAGCTCCCAGATTTACCAGGTTTGTTTCGATGAGACAGAGTTTATCAATTAAGTCACGACACTCTTTAACTTCGTGTAACTCTTTCTTAAGATTCTTCTCCTGAAACATCAGACATTCTCGCATCTTGGAAAGTTCACTTACAGTCTCTCCGAGAGTGGTCAAGCAGTTTGAAGTGATAATACCTTCTGCCAACCCCAATTTATCCGTAACTTTTTTACTCAATTCTTCAAGCTGCACCCCTACATCACCATAAGAGCCAGAGAAGCATGGTACTCCAATACTATATTTTGTTTCAAGATTTTTAGCTACAACTTCCAAATCTACAATAACGGTGGATGTATTTGAAATAGAAAATGAAGGATAACCTCGACCGATGTCCCTGCGAAGTGCTGCTATAGTATCAGCCATATTACTATCTCTGTAAAACCCAACTTCAAACTATATATTCAGAACATTCAATGTTCTTTTTGGTTTCAGTAAGCTAAAGAAAATATTTGTTCCTTATACGAACTTTAGCTTTATTATAGAAAACGATTCTTTTGAAAATACGGCGCGAACATGGTGCGATAGAGCAGACGTCAATCCAAGAAATTCTCAATCACGAAGTCAGCCTGTTTCACTCTCAGATTTAAGTAATAGAGAAAACGAAACTCGAATTTATTTGCTTTAAGCGATAATATCTTGAATACAATAATTTTAAATAGTATGTCTCAGATGTTCAAGATTTTGTTAGCCCCGAATACCATCGCTCCACCAGGCCACCGTACTGCTCCCAAATCAGATGCTCTCCATACATAGCATAGAACCTATTCAAATAGTGTTAACAATTATACTTTTGATGAATCCTACATTCCAAAAAGTGTTCCTCCCAAATGAGCGGCATGATCGAATAGTCGAAACCTAAATGAAAAAAAATAATATGAACAAGAACTGTTGAATATACCGGAAGACTAATCCAAGTATATCGAACAACAGTACTCCATAAATGGCAGACTGAGCAGAAAAGTCAAAGTTAGGTATGAACACAATCTTCAGTCTTGCGTCGGGAATTTTCATACAAACATAGCCTAACAGACCCAGAATAGCTCCGCTCTGATGGAATATGAAAATTTAGTTGTTGGTCTCTAAATACTCACAGCTCCCAGAGCGCGGACAGGAGACTTGACAATTGCTTTATGGATAAGGGATGTGAAAGATGAAGCTACAGCAGCACTTGCGTAGAAAGCCCAGAACTGAATAAAAATTTCCATACAGATTAACAACTATAACTAACCTGGTCGGGGCCGAAAAATTTGTCGATAGCGACATTAGTGAAAGAGTAGACGACATACATATTCAAAGCCAAGTGTATCAAATTGGAATGTGAAAAGGCACTGAGGAGCATTGGAGAGCATAGACTTCCTTTAAACTCCGTATTAATAAAAGTTTTTCCAATTTAACGTACTCTGTGCAAAACTATTAGTGAAATATCTCCACATCTGTGGTTCAAAGGCTCGTATTTTCCATAAGCAGAAGACAACCACATTCACTGGAAAATGATTGGTATAGAACATATAGGATGAGTCTCATTACGTCCAATGAGCAGAGCTGCTGTCTTATCCCCTTCTGATAGCCTTTTCCACTCAAAACTATCCGTTTGGTTCTGGCCATCGTAATAGCTAGAAAAGGTACACTGTGCTAATCCGCTCAGATTTTATTCAGAAAAAACCTTTTGAATGTTGCCTTGAAAAAATCACTTGCAGCTTCTCGTGCTTTCTCTTTCATCCGTTTTATGTCAGATATAATAGCCACCGTGAATGCTCCAGTCCCGACCTAATGAGAAACATGAGCCACCAATATATGGCTGAGCTGCTGTTCAGAACTTACCAGTACTGTGAATCCCAAAGCTTTCCAAAGATCTTTAGGAGGTCGTAAAGAAATAGCATCACTATAAACTTGTGGATTGTTAACTGAAATTAAGAATCGAAAATCAACTCTCATAAATGAAATCTAGACCGTTTTGGAATCCATTCTTTCTTATTTTATTATGGACATCTTTGAGTTCTTGTTTATACAATCGGTTTCTCAAAGTTTCTCTAGTGAACCTATTAGCTATTGAAGTAGTATTCGAAAGAAAACGGCTTTGATTACTCAAAGCATAACGTAAAACTAGCATTTTAGCAAAACACATGCATTGCATAGCTTATAACTAGCGAAAATTGGTCCCGACGCGAATGGCTTGGACACTAGCCAACATTTAAAAGACGCTTATGGCTAGTATAAATTAACAGTTCTATTGATTTTGATTAATTTATAATTTGAATATCTAGCAAGGTTTTTTTGTTATTTCGAATATATATTTATGAATCGACGTGTGTGTGTGTATGTTCACGGAAATTTCCCACGTAAACCGCACACGTGAGCGGATGTTTTTATTTTATGGCGTTCATTCTTAGTGATCGGTTGATCTTGGCGTCGGTCCATATTTCTTTCAATTCATATTTTCATTTCAGTTTAAACGAAGCTAACATATACAACTAACATTTTTATCAATAGTGGTTTAAGTAAGTTTACTTCATATCGTCTGAAATTTATCATATTGTTTTCTAGAAAACTATGTTTTATTCCCAGTTCGTTCTATCTAAAAAAGGGCCCTTAGCCAAAATCTGGCTTGCGGCCCATTGGGAAAAAAAATTATCGAAAGCTCAAATTTACGAAACTAATGTCGAAGATGCTGTAGAAGAAATTCTGAAACCAAAGGTTTTCGGTTTTATTTTTGGTTTTTGTATAACTGTACAACTAGGTCAAAATGGCTCTAAGAACAACTGGCCACTTGCTTCTCGGAATAGTCCGTATTTATTCAAGAAAAACGAAATACCTTCTTGCTGATTGTAATGAAGCCTTCCTCAAGATCAAGATGGCTTTCAGACCCGGACAAGTTGAATTATCTGATGATGTTCGTGATAACAACACCAGCTTGCAAGGCATACCAGATGTAAGATACTATTATGTAACACGTTTTCACTTTCCTTCTTCAGGTATATACTGATTTCGATACTGCTTTACCCGAGTTCAACGACGCCGAATTTGCGAACCACTTACAGGTATGATGATTGATTTTGACAAATCTTCGAATTCATTTTCTATAGGTCAGCCAAAGTCGCATCGATGATATTACTCTCAAAGAAGATCTTATTGGAGACCCATCAAACATGAGATTTAATGATGATTTTGGAGTAAGTACTCAGTTTCGCTATGGAATGAATATTATTTTCTAGATGGATGATTTCGGTGAAAGTTCTGTAGGCATGGGATCCGGATTTGATGACGATTTTGGAGCTTTCGACAGAAGCTCGGCTATTGAAGTTGGTCGTGACGCCAGTGCATCAGCATTCGGAAATTCAATTCGGTAGCCTACTACTACTATTATTTTTTTGAATTTTGTATTGATAATTTCAGTGATATTCGCGAGCCAACACCTTCCCTCGAAGGAAAGATGGCCCCAGGGGCTCCTATTTTTAATACTGATGACGATTTTGTTGGAGGAGATATGGGGGATGACGATATGGACGGCAAGTTTGCTGCTCAATCACGCTCAATTCTATTTTCTATTCAGGGAGCGTTTTTAATGATAATATGTCTGCTGTAGGTAATATGGAAGCACCAGGTTCCGACTTAGGAGACGAAATGCAGCTGGGTGCTACTGCTAACAGTCTTCAAGGTTAGATTTGTCAAATGTTTTCAGCTTACTTTTTCTTCAGGTGATCGTCAAGAAAGTTTTGCACTAGAACCATTAGACGTTTCGGCATTGGATAAAATGCAAGAGAAAAGAAGAAGAAAGAGAAGATTAATTGTTGATGACCAGAAGAATATTAGTGGTGAAGAAATGAAAAATAATATGCTGGATTACAGGTGTTTGATTATCTTAAGGTTAAAGATCATTTTCTTGTTTTCAGTGATACATTGCAAACCTTGGACTTAGCTCCACCGACAAGAAAACTCATGCGTATGAAGGAAGCAGGAACTGTTGAAAAGCTTTTCCATATGCCTGGTTTCCAATATATGAAGGCTAAGCCTTTGATTAGAGTAGGATTGTTTTATATTAAGTTATGTATTTTCTGTATGTTTCAGCTTTATCAATCGCATTTGGTCCTGAAGGCTCGTGTAGATGATGTATTGAAGCCGGATGATATCCGCAAGGAACTTGATCTATCTGATATAATAGAAGATGACTTCCAATATCAAGCGGTATGTTCATGTTCTAAATTTCTCAAACTTCTAAAAAGCTCATGAGAGTGCACGCATTTTTATTAGGCCTTTCGATATGACTTTCTCTCGCTATTTTTTTTCTAAAATTAGTTTTGGACATTAGAAAGGGGCAAAGTAACTTGGAACTTGATAGTAGAGGTGTTCATAATAGAATACTGTAAGTTCCTCTTAGCTACTTATAGTCTTAGTTTCGCTTCACTGCATACCATCCGGAATTTTCTGTAACATCGTAATTTATGCACGCATATACTGTCTCAAAACATGAGTTCGGTACTTGAAGCACGAACTATTGTAAAACAAATAGCTTATTAGGAGTACCAGCCTTGACAACTGTCTTAAGAGCAGGAGTACCATCGTCTTATGATAATTATTGAATTACAGGATTGCGGGGAAGATTTTGAAGATATCGGTCCAGTTAATATTGAACCACTCACTGCCGATTCCCCACCCCCTATGGCTGAACTGGATGCTGAGGAATCCCCTGTTAAAGATCTCGAAGATAGCCCCACTTCAGAGAAGAGAAAGAGAAAGAGTAATCTTAATGAGGTAGATTTCTGATACTAATCACGATCTCTGAGACCGAAATCTTTTTAGACAACTAGAACTGAAGATGATGAAGCTGCCGAAGGAGACGAAGATCATAGATGGACCAAACGTACCCAAGGAGTTCTGAACTCGATTTCAACAAAACTGAACTCGTCTGCTTGCGCTGAAGTGAGTTTTGATTTTTCAACTCTTCCAAAATGTGTAACCCTATCGTCGAACTGCTTACGGAGAAACGTATCAACTGAAATGGATTCATCTCCTGTAGAGTTGATCTACATAATCCAAAAGAGACGAGGTCAAAGCAATTTTGTTGGCTTCTTTGGCGTCATGTAAAATTTAATCGTAGCCCTCATTTTTGAGTTTCAAATTCCTTATCAGTTTGAAATACACTGAAGATTTTTTCTACTCGTATGTCCAATTACCTATTCCAGATAACATTAACTGATTTACTAACTAAAGGATCAAC